GCGTTCTCAGACAGACAGATGAAAATTGTTAAAACTATAGATTTGGCCTCTGTGTTGATAATAATGACTATTTCAATAAGATTTTCTAAAAAATATTTAATGTACAGATTCGACTTAGAATTGTATTATATGTATAATATATTATGGACTTAATATATACAGGGTAAAATAAACCAACGGAACATGGAAGAAAATTACTTTAAATATTGACATTTAATATCTCAAATATTAAAAAGTTAAAGCTCTTCTTTTTCTATACATATAATAAAATTGTAACCAAGCCGAAACTGTACATTAGATATTTTTTGGAAAATCTTATTGAAATAAACATTATTATCGATACAGAGGCCGAATCTATAGTTTTTAGAATTTTTGTCTGTCTGTCTGTCTATCTGTCTGTCTGTTACCGCATCACAGAAAAACTACTGGAGGGATTTTGATGAAATTTGGTATGGTGATAGCTGGTTATCCGGGTCAACATATAGAATACTTTTTACCGCGGGAAAATATCTCATTTCTGGGAAAAAATACAAAAACTGTAATGTAAGAGTATACTAATATGTAAAACCTACTAAACGCGGGCGGAGCCGCGGGCAATGCTAGTTTTTAAATAAAATAATCTTTCCCTTAAGTGAAACTTGATATTTTGAATATTTAATTTACTTTTCATCCATGCTCTGTACATTTATACCACGATGTTAATTGTGATGTGGACGAAAAAAACCTCTAATACCTTTTTACATAGTAAATTATTATCTTAGTTTTATATTTTTCCCCATTTCTTTTTTTATTATTTGATTTGGTCATGGTTTGTACAAACATTGTTTTCTATCTATGTATTTACGATTTATGTAATATCAAAATTTAGTTATATTTTTGTTAAAACTTTTTTTTACAAGGATATTTTGTTATTTAAATGTTAGAGTTTTTTTCATTTCTTATATTTTTTTTGTAACATAAGTGAGCAACAACAACAACATTTTTATTAGTTTAACAATTATTATATACATGTTAAGTTAGCCTGTAATTGTGATATACTTTGTAACACTTTCTTATGTATAACTATAATAAGTTAAAAAATGTATTCTTAGTATATAACGTAGGCTTCCTAATAAATAAAATAAAAAATAAAATAAATAAAAAAAAATGAATTAAAAGGAAGCCATTTTCTGTAATTATAGAGACGACCAATGTTCGTACGACAGATTTTATACTTACCATATACCCGATATCGATTAGTTCGATAAAATAGTGACAGTGTATCTCTTTACACTTTTAGTAGGTTTGATTTCCAGCTCATGCAATTTTTTTTCTAATATTTATACGTTCTTAATTTAGTTTCTAATATATATTTTTATTTAAAAAAAAAAAAGTATTTGAAAATGTATGTAAATTTATTATAATTTATGTAAATCTTCAATATTTAAAGTACTTTTCTTCCATATCCCACCCATTTGTTTCATCCTGTATAAAAACAAAAGAAAATGGTAAATTTTGCGCATTATTAAAAAATCAACAAGCCCAAAGTGTTTCAGGCTCGAACCAAATAACAACATTCAATATTATTAAAGCTTTCTGAGGTATACGTTAAAAATGAACAAAAATTTACGGAAGTGACGTCATCATTTTTAGTTTTATCTCTCACATGTGCTTATTTTAAATTGGATTAAAAATATATATTCATTTGGAACTTCTATTATTAAAAACCAATAAATTTAAATGCACGTTTTCTTGAACACATGCCAATCAGACAGCAGGGATTTTATTTTGTAGGGATTACCCTATTATCTGATTAATTGTACCATATGTTCGCTTGATGAATGTAAAATTTTTCTTTACAAGTTTACATTCGGTTATTCAAAAATATTTTTTCTAGTAAGTTAATTTAAATCTAACATTTCTGTTTTAAATTTTGTTCTATGACCTAAGCCCTCTAATGGACAGCTGAGTTCCTCTGATAAAATCCTTATGGAACAAAACAAGTTAATGCAAACACATAAAATAAATAAGAATTTATTTTTTTGATAAATATATAGACAGTGGATTAAGCTTGCTGAGAAGGAACGAGAGAAATATATAACAAAAGTAGATACTCATTTTCGACTTCATGTTTCCTTATTGAAAGATAGATCTTTCTACAAATTTTATCTTTATAGTTTTAGCCTTGATGTGAAGACATTTGTTACTGCGACGGACTAGGTTTGTCCGACTAAGTAAATGAAGCTCCAACCGCAAAGTCGAAGGCTAGATTACAAAAAACCTTATTTGTAAAAATAATAATTTTTAGATACATAGATATATTTTACGAATGTGGTACCAGACTATTAATTATAGTGAAAAGTCTAAATAAAACGTATTTAAGGCTGTCTTAATTTTCCTGTCGCTATGCCCGTATTATGTATATATACAACTAGCGACTCACCCTCGCTTCGCTCGGGTTCCTCCCTAGCTTGATTCCCCATACAAACTTTCATCCCCATTTTCACCCCCTTAAGGGATGATTTCCGGGATAAAAAGTATCCTATGTCCTTTCCAGGGTCTCAAACTATCTTCTTACCAAATTTCATCTAAATCGGTTCAGTAAATGCAGAGATTACTTCCTACAATATCACAAACTCACAATACACAAACTTTACCTCTTTATTATATTAGTATAGATAATAGATAGCTTCTTGTATTGTTATATAAATTTTCCGTCCCGAGATACAATTTATATATTTGCCAAATTTTATCAAAATCTGTTCAGCCGTTTAAACGTGAGAAAGCAAAGCAGCAAAAAAAGCAGACAAACTTACTTTCATATTTATAATATTAAGTATGTATACACTCTTAGTGTTATAGTTTTAGAATGGCAGCTAAAAATGAATAGTTTTTTTATTATGCCTTTTTTCTTTTGCAAGTGCATCCCTCACAACTGCATTTCCAGTTTGTATAGAAAATATCATTTTAGTAGTAAATGTTGAAAATGAAGCACACTGAAATTTCAATAGACAGTACATTTCAACAACGCACTCGACAAATATCAACTGAACGTTTGTTCTATTTATCACACGCAAACTTCATTATTCCGTCGGTTCGACGAAACTAATGCTTTACAGCAGAATACTGGTGGTACTCAAAATTCAGTGAACGCAGTCGTAGCCCAGTGGTAGCGCTTGTTTGGAAAACCTAAGTTCAAATCCCAGAACTCGCATATCTGATATCATGTGCGAATCATTTTTATCAGGATAACCACTTGCCTAACGGTGAAGGAAGAAATCGTCACCTGCATGTCATGTGGAGTCCGACATTTGGCTAACGTTATAAAGGAGAAAAAGAATTTCTGTTTTATCTATACATACAACAAACTAAGCCGAATCTGTACATTAAATATTTTTTGGAAAATCTTATTGAAATAAACATTATTGTCGATACACAGGCCGAACCAATAGTTTTTAGAATTTTTGTCTGTCTGTTACGGCATCACAGAAAAACCACTGGAGGGATTTTAATTAAATTTGGTATGGTGATAGCTGGTTATCCGGGTCAAAAACTTTTTACCGCGAAAAATGTCTCATTTCTGAGATAAAATACAAAAACTGCAATGTAAAAATGTACTAATATGTGAAACCTAAGAATTTGGTTTTTGGCCACCTGAACGCGGGCGGAGCCGCGGGCAATGCTAGTTTATAATATTATCCTAAATTAAATGCAACTTCATTCAATAGATATACGAAAAATATATAGAGCACGAAACGATTTAAATCACTTTGTTATTACCTATGGTACAGATTGACTCTACAACCAAGTCACAAATATCGGACCTAAAAATTTTTTGAAAATAAAAATGGAGGAAACTGGTGTTGCTGTATATTATTACATTTCCAAGATCAGGATTGTTGGCATTTTATGGGGGAGGCTTTTGTCAACCAGTGGACGGTGATAAACTAAAAAAAACCATATCCCTTAGGTAGTACAGGTACATGTAAGGAAATAAGATCTCTTTAATATGTTACTATTCTAATCTTTTTATATTAAACTAGCTTTGCCCGAGGCTTCGTCCGATTCAACCTAAAAATTCTTAGATTTTACATATAAGTATACTCTTACATTGCAGTTTTTGTATTTTTTCTCAAAAATGAGATATTTCCCCGCGTTAATATTATCCTATATGTTGATCTGGATGACCAGCTATCGCCATACCAAATTTCATCAAAAAAGTGGTTTTTCTGTGATGCGGTAACAGACGGTCAGACAGAAAGATAGACAAAAATTCTAAAAACTATAGATTCGACCTCTGTATCGATAATAATGTTTTTTCAATAAGATTTTCCAAAAAATATTTAATGTATAGATTCGGCTTAGTTACAATTTTATTATACCTACTCGTAATATGTATAGATTAATGATGAAACAAAATAAAAACTAAGTAAATTTACATACATACAAATTCAGAATTCAATACTATATAATATCTTACATAATTGAAATCTAAAATTTATATGAGAGCATATCGAATTTAGAGCTCAAAATGTATCTTTAGATCTATTCGGACTGATTGAAGTGAAACTCGGTTATGTCTAAAATCGAGACATTTGCGATATTTCTATTTCTATATACCTAAACGAATATATGAAGATATATAACATTTTGGAATTGGATTCTTAATTAAAAAACAACTAAAGAACAATATAACGTGTTTAAAAAGCTTCTCGGATCGGGTTTCGTTACTAGAAATACGGCTAGCTGACAACTCTACCTGGTCGTTTGTTCAAGTATATGCGCCCACCGAAGCATACACAAAAGAAGATATAGACCTCTTTTATCAAACAGTGCAATCGGCCTTAGACTCTACCCAAACGAAAAACATTATATTACTTGGCGATTTCAACGCAAGAATTGGTAAAGCTCAAGAAAATGAAGGAAATAACATCGGGAAATATACATACGGTAAAAGAAGTTCACACGGTCAGAAATTAATTGAGTTTGTACTTGAGAACGGCTATTTCATCATAAACAGCATGTTTCCGTGCAATCCACGTAAAAAATGGACGTGGCGCTCACCCAATGGCAAGGAACTCAATGAAATTGACTACATACTCACAAACCAACCAAGATACATAAAAAAATTTGATATAATAAAAAATTTAAACTTTAACACTGATCACAGAATGATACGTTGTGTGTTATCTTTAGATTTGAAACCAAAAAGAAGGAAAATAAAACCTGTTGTCTACACCAGAAATTTACCAACGTTATCAAAAGATGATGCTAGTTATTGGGAAAACAAATTTATGAAAGCTGTTACTGCGTCTACCGTAGTTCAAAATCAATATGATAAATTAGAAATAGAATTACAAAAGCTTATGAAGCAGTTGCCACGTGAAAAGAAACAGCCAATTAACTATATCAGCGAGGAAACAAAACACCTGTTAGAACAGAGGAAAGAATTATGTAAGAAGAAAAGAACAACTGAAATCAAGTCTAAAATAACAAGATTAAGCAAAAAAATTAATAGGAATATCACTCACGAGAAAAAATTGACACGCAAAAAAACTTTTGAAAAATTTATAACAAAAGCAAGGGTCCTACGCAAGGCTTACAGAGAGCTGAGCGATAAGACAAAGTGGACAGTGAATATGAAAAATAGACAGGGAACTATGCAATATAGACGTCCAGATATTATAAAGGAAGCAACTAACTTCTACGCGGAGCTCTACAATACCGATGAAGAGACGCGCCCTTCAGGATTTTACCTTATGAAACCGAACGAACACAATATAGTAAATAAGGACACAGAGACACCTAATATCCTTATATCAGAAATCGAACACGCAATAAGTACCCAAAAAAATGATAAATCCCCCGGAAGTGATAACATTGCCAATGAAGTGCTTAAGTCGCTATCAAATTCACTTCAGAAACCTCTACAAATATTATTCAACAATATTCTAAAAACAGAAACCACGCCGGAACAATGGTCAAAGTCTACAATTATATTGCTTCACAAGAAAGGAGACAGAAATATTCTCGGAAACTATAGACCGATCAGCCTCATGACGAATTTATATAAAGTTTTCTCAAAAATAATTCTAAACAGAATAACAAATAATTTAGACGAAAACCAACCGCGCGAACAAGAGGGCTTTCGTAAAGGATACTCGACTACAGATCACATACAAGTCATAACACAATTAATAGAAAAAGCCAAAGAATACAGAAAGACGTTGTATATGTGCTTTATAGACTACACGAAAGCCTTCGACTCCTTATATTTTGATGCAATATGGACGTCACTAGCACAGCAAGGCGTTGACTCAACATATATAAACATAATAAACAGTGTCTATTCAAAATGTTACACCAAAGTACGGTTAGAGATTGAAGGTTCAGAGTTCCCTATAAAAAGAGGAGTGAGACAGGGAGACCCGCTCTCGCCAAAAATCTTTTCGGCAGTACTCGAGTCTGTATTCCGACGTATGGATTGGGAAACGAAAGGAATAAATATAGACGGGGAACTACTGCATCACCTACGCTTCGCGGACGACATCGTGGTATTTGCTGAAAGCGCGTCAGAGCTCGAGAACATGGTCAGGGAACTAGCATTAGAAAGCCATAAAGTAGGACTGTCACTCAACACAAAGAAAACTAAGATCCTAACCAATGGAGACCCACAAGAAATTGTTGTAGAGAACGAAAAAATCGATTATGTAACAGAATACATTTATCTGGGACAATCAGTATCCTTTGAAAATAACACCGCAAAAGAAATACAACGAAGGATAACTCTAGCATGGAAAAAATATTGGGGCTTGCGAGAAATAATGAAGAATAACACAGTTAGTATAAATATAAAGAAGAGAATCTATGAAACAGCAATATTACCATGTCTAACATACGGTTGTCAGACGTGGGCAATAAGAAATGAGGATGAAGAAAAAATTGCTATATGCCAGAGAAAAATGGAAAGGAGCATGCTGGGAATAAAATTATCAGACAAAATTCACAACAGTGACATCAGAAACAAAACAAAAATAATAAATGTAAGGAAAAGAATTCGATTACTAAATTGGCAATGGGCAGGGCATGTTTGCAGGATGAACAATAGATGGACAAAACGTTTAACAGAGTGGATACCAAGGGACAGGAAAAGGAGAGTAGGGAGACCTAGTAAAAGATGGAGAGACATTTACAGACACAGATGTGGTAATGACTGGATGCAAAAGGCTCGGGAAAGAGATGTTTGGAAAGGTTTAGGAGAGGCCTACGCCGCAGAGGCGACTACTACTAATATATACTGAATATTATTTTATGCTACATACACATATAGATATAGAAATATAGATTTACAAAAGTTAGTACACATATAGTTATTTAGATATATAGATAGTCATATAGTTTTATATAGATAAGTAAAAACATTTACAAATACACATACAAAAAGTCCCAAAGATCTGATAAGTAGTTGTGTTCAAAAGAAAGAAAAATGTTAACGAAAGTAGTAAGTTAATAAAGGCTATTTTATTTATTTATTTTATTTATATAACATTTTAAATAAAACCATCTTTTTGGACTATATACGATGATATTAAGAATATGCGTGGTTTTCAATTTCACCGACAAAAGAATTGAAATCTAAATGGGTGCCAAGTTCTGTAGATAATGCTGAAATTTTTTCATAAGAACATACAACATCTATACATATAATAAAACTGTAGAGGTAGAATGTCTGTACATATAAACAAATGCTAAAAATCGAGTCAGGGGGTCGTAAGAAGAAAAATAGAACAAACCCAGAATTTTTCATTTTTTTTTGTTTCTCTGTTGGACTGGTTTAAATGAAATTTTACATGGTGGTACCTTATTTCCCTGATCAACATTTTAGATACTTTTCATCCGGAAAAATCAAAGAGTTCCCGTGGGTTAGTTAAAAACTATAGTAACTTATACAGCTTACTACACAAAAACTACTGATTGGATTTTAATGAAACTTTATAATAATACAGTTCATACTATAATATATATATTGTTAATAATATAGTTTATAATAATATAGTTTGTGACTTGGCTAGTTTTTACATACAAGTTTAAAAAAAATAACATTAATCAGCGATAAGACTCATGTTTTACTTTTTTTAAAGGTGGAGACCTTTCAAAATAAAGACAGCATAATTTTTATTAAATAACTTTTGCCACTCGTGTAGATAATTAATTATTATTTATGAAGTTACATAATACAACTTTGCTCCTAAGGATCATAACGTGATGTTTCACCTTGCTCATAATGATAAGTAAGACCTTATCCTTCTTTTTCTCTTTCTTCTTCTCTAGAACTATAAATTTACAATAATTAGAGCATAGAGGCAGTGGTAGTCTAGTGATAACGATCTCGCTTGGGAAACGTAGTGAAGCGTGTTCAAATCCCGGGTCTCGCACCTCTGATATTTTTATGTGCGAATCATTTCTAACATGATTATCACTTGCCTTCCGGTGAAGGAAAACATATCTGAGACCTGCATATCTGAGAAAACCTTGCAAGTTTTCGAAAGATATGTGAAGTCCGCCAACCTGCACTTGGCCAGCGTGGTGGACTATGGTCTGATCCTCCTCGTATTGAAGGGAGGCCCATCCCCAGCAGTGGGTCGTTAAAAAGGGCTGAATACATATAATACAATTAGAACACAGAATTATTTTATTTATTTATTAGAGTTATTTACTTATATAAACATTTATTAACATAGTACTTTTCGTGCAAAAACCCATTAAAATTAATATATCTCCAGCGTGAGTTAATTTTATTGAGATAGTAAATATTAATATTAATAATTTGATTTTATTTTAATATTGTATATTAATAATTAATAACACGCTCACAAAAACTACAAAATAATCCCGTTTATTGATATTCACCCAATCGATTGTCTTCACATTCTCATCTCCCTCTGGATCCTAAAAGTAATAAGTTATTTTTAATCATACTTACATTATACATCATGTATTAAAACAAAATTACAATTATTAAAATCAAAAACGAGATGGTAGAATTGTATATATGCACAAGGTTATAATTGGCCCTGATTATTTCTTTAAGTATACCTACCTGGGTGACCGAGCTTCGCCGTTATCACGGAAAAGAGATATATATATATATATATCATATATATAAATTGCTCATTTAATATTATAGAAAAACATACTTGAGAGTTATTAAGTGTCACAGCTACTTACATCGAAACAAAAAGCGAATCTCTTTACTCTCACTCCGTTACCTGCTGTAGTAGTGTAAATAACGAATAAGATGTTTTTATTATCTAAAAAAAAAAAATTATAAAAAATAAATTTATTCGAGCTTAATTGTGTGTATAAAACTGAAATATTTGAACTCCGTGTGATTTCTAAGCAAAACTATAGCAAAAAAGTGTAATAAAAACGAGACAATCCTTAAAACAGTGCAAAAACAGTTAACATAACCTAAAATAAAACGGACTTTTTCAAACTTATTACATAATAAATTACGAATATTTAAAACCAATAGCGACATCTGTTATCCCATGCTTGAACTACCAAAAACTGTCAACAAGCATTTATTGAAAGTAAACTACGTAATACAGATATTTAACACAAGAGGGCGCTAGTATTAAAAATTACCAGTTTATATAAAAATAATAGTTCATTATAATACTCTACAATGGAACAAATTGTAGAAATGATTAAAACCTTACAATTGAAATTCGAAGAACAATCAAATGAGTTAAAAGAAATGAAAGAAAGTATTCCAACAAAAATTAACAAAAATATTGATGAAAAGTTCACTATTATAGAAACTAAACAATTAGAATTGGAAAAAAACACAGAAGCACAAGGACGCCGAATTAAGCAACTAGAAAAGGTTATCAGAAGGAAAAACTTGCTCTTTTTTGGAATTGAAGAGACTGAAAAAAATTATTTCGATCTACAAAATATACTGATAAATGTGATAACAACCAATATGAAATTAAATTGCCGCCAGGAAGACATAGAGTACTGTAGACGTCTGGGAAAGAAATCTAATAAAATAAGACCAATAATTGTCACTTTCTGTACAGTCTGGAAAAAAATAGAACTATTGAAAAATAAAAAATCATTACAAAACACCACATACTACATAAAAGAGGACTTTCCTCCTGAGATCCTTGAAGAAAGAAAGAAATTAAGCATTCAGTTACGACAAGAAAGAGAAAAAGGAAGAAAAGCATTCATAAAATATAACAAAATAATAATTCTACCTGAAAAAAATAAGAATGAAAATCCGCAGCATGACCGCAAGAAGAGAAACCTATCTCAATCGCCTGAAACCCAAACTAACCCTACTAATGGAAGAAACAATAATTCCAAAAACAACCTAAGAAAAATAAATTAGAATTAACACAATATTTAATTAAAACCAAACCTAATGATAGTAATGGCGAAGGCTATTTACATCAAGCTGCAAGGAATACTGAAAGTAACTGACAAGAGCCTACGACCTCTACGTCCCCCAACACGGCCGGTCACCGCGGGGGTCATTGACCACAACCCTCCACTCCAGTCACACACACCACTTTACATATGCTCCTACAATGCTAGATCTCTATCATCAGATGAAAAACTCCTTGTATTTAAAGAAAGTATATCAAAAACAAAACACGACATAATTGGACTCGCAGAAATAAGAAGAATGGGCTACAATATTCTAGAAGATCAAGATCACATATTTTGCTACTATGGTGAAAACAAAGGTCAATATGGAGTTGGATTTATTATAAAAAAGAGACAAATCAAATATAGAAAGTTTTATAGCTATATCTGAAAGAATATGTGTACTCAATCTTAAATTTAAATATAATACACTCTCCATTATTCAAGTTCATGCACCAACCATTGAAGCAAATGATGAGGAAATAACAAAATTCTATCACCAAATACAAGAATCTTTAAAGCAATGTTACAAAAGTATTATTATTAAAAAATTATATTTAATTTTAAATTAAATTTAATATAGTATTATTATTAAGAAGAGGAAGACCTATGGAGAGATGTATAGACAAGGTACTAAAAACAGCAGGGACAGACTGGGTAGACGCAGCAAAAGAAAGAACCACCTGGAGACAAATGGAGGAGGCCTTTACTCGAAGAGAGGTCCTTAATTTAAAATAAATAAAAATTACCTAGTTTTAAATAACTTATAGTATATAGATATGATAACAAAAAAAATTAGTGATGAAAATGTGTAAAATCTCATTTAACTTATATAATTATAATCAGCTAAGTGTAACTTATTTATATTATAAGTTAATTAATTTCTTAATTATTTTTTTTCATAGTTAAAATAATTATAATGTTGCATAAAAATAATAACTAATCAAACTAAATAATTGTTAAACAATGTTTTTTATATTTTATAATAATGCGTATAAAAATAATGATAATGATTAATATATAAAACTAAATTTAATATAGATTATGTAAAAAATTGCTAGATATAATTTCTTTGTATTATAACTTAATGTATCTCATTATAATTATGTAGTTAGTCATTGAATTGTTATGTAACATATAAATATTCAACTACCTAATCAAATCAAAACCTAATAATGTTAAACCAATTGTCAATTTAAATTAAGGAAATAAAAAGGCTTATTATTATTATTATTATCTAAAAATAAATATTTGTTATTTATCAAAAGTGGTAGAAAAATGACCGTCGTTCCTACTTTTACTATTGAATTATAATAATTATTAACTAAATTTCTTTTACTTATAATAAATAAATAGCTGCCCCGTTCATTAAGTGATTACGAGGTACTAGGTTCGAGTCCGGAGTAAGTAAAAGTAACAGTGCCAAAATAATCATTGTTTTTTTTATCAAGAAATGCTCAGTAGCAGCTTAGTTAGAAAATGAATTCATGATACGGAAATCACGTAAAGATTTGATCCTTCGCCTTATTTTTTATTTTTGCTCCCGGTGATATTATGGCGATGATAATATCACATATTTTCATAATGTTGAAAACAGTACTGATACACAGAGAGACAACCGTAATAATAATTTTTATGCCAACTAAGCCCACGCTATGGTTCTACCTACGAGTATATCATCATCTCTTAGTAAGTATATCATCTTTTTGAGTATTGTAATTAAGATCTTACTGCCATAAAAGTAGTCAAAGAGAGTGTAGTAAAGGCGCATGCAATAAGCGTAGCAACGCGACGGCATCGAACCATTACTATCAGTATAGACATGCGCGTGCGCACGCTACAGGAGTACCATGGAATATCGTATGCTGCTTCTGCTATCTCTTCACTCTGAATAAAAATTATATATTTTCAAGTTAGAATACATTACAAACAAGAGTCTGAAGCAATAGCTTGATAATGTCACTATAGATCTCGTTATTTTATTTAACGTACTAATCAAAATCAAACAAAATATGTTAATATATAGTAAATAGAGGGTAGTTTAAATAATTTATTTTTACAAGTTTCTTATTTTAATTAAATGTTTGTATGTAAGTCCATGAAAAAGCTGTCACCGACTTGAACCGCCGAGTCTATTAGTAGTAATATTTGTTTACATGTATAGATTGCTTTTGTTGCAATACAACATTTATGTTCCTATCCTACGTAAGCCTCAACTTAAATTAATCTTACATAGTTACATCTAGAACGTTCTATAACGGATAGTAAATAATCTATACATATAATAAAATTGTAACCAAGCCGAATCTGTACATTAAATATCTTTTGGAAAATCTTATTAAAATAGACATTATTATCAATACAGAGGCCGAATCTATAGTTTTTAGAATTTTTGTCTGTCTGTTACCGCATCACAGAAAAACCACTGGAGGGATTTTGATGAAATTTGGTATGGTGATAGCTGGTTATCCGGGTCAACATATAGGATACTTTTCACCGCGGGAAAATATCTCATTTCTGAGAAAAAATACGAAAACTGCATTGTAAGAGTATACTAATATTATGTAAAACCTAAGAATTTGGTTTTTGGACATCTGAACGCGGGCGGAGCCTCGGGCAATGCTAGTGCTATATATGTTTAAGGACGTTTATGCGTAAGAACTTATTAAAAGAGAGATATAAACTTATGGAATTAATTTGTAGTAATAAAATTATTTAAAGTTTTGTTTGGTGTGACCATTGCTACTATAGTTCACTTACTTCTAAAGAGAGATGTTCACCTTGATAGCAATATATAAATACTTGGAACATCATATCCAAAAGATAGGTGCTCATTGAGACCAGTCGAACAAAGTTACTAGTTTGCTGAAATTAAATATGGAACATTAAAATATTTAATGGTTTTATACTATTCAAATATTCATAAAATGTATGATTGTACGTACAGTCACTAGTTGGAAAGCAGTTGCGCAAATGATAAGAAGAGTTACGGCAAATTGGACGAAAGTCGGCTCCGAGAAGGTGTTCTGCAGCAGCAAAACTGTCTCCAAGGCCTTCTGATGTCTGATCGCGCAGCTTTTTATATGTTTTCGAGCTTTGGTCTCTTGGTCAGGTGTAAAGTGCAAAGGATTGGAATCGGACTTAAGGAGTATTGTATCTGAAGTTGATTCCTGTAAATTAAAATACTCATTTCGCTTCATAAGCTTTTTTTAATTGTCCTTAATGTTGCAATCGTCTTACGTCTTACGCCTACCCATTTCCTATAAAAGTTATATTAAAATTTAGCTACAGTAGGTTTTGCTTTAGTGATACACTATGAATATTGGGTGTCTACAGGATAATTACTTTTTTCTACTAAACCATTAGCTATCTAATTAGATATCATTTCTTTTAGATATGAATATGTTATGTTATACTCACTTCAGTAAAATATTGATCATTGAATGAATTTCTTAGAGAAAGTCCTACTAAGCGTAAACGGCACCTGCACTGTGCTATAAGCGTGGTAACCAGGGTATCCTGACTCACATTTAATATTGAAACTGTGAATATCGAGAATACTTGGTGCACATACGTTAGTTCATACGCTGGTGACTTGTTTGCATTGTATGGGTACCTAGAGAAATATAAAAATATAAAATGGCTCCTAAAAACAATAAATAAATTTCTGACTATATATTATACATTAGCAAACTACCCTCCGCTTTATGCGCCTTGAGTATCTTACATGATAGCCTATGTCTAACACTCAGAGCTGTATTGTGTATAAAAATGTCATTCAACTCCATCTAACCGTTTCGGTGTTAAGGTTTCGGAGAAGGACCAGTTGCGAAGGGTGAAATTTTAGCTCTTAATTTAATTAAAACTTTAATTCTTATATACGTATTAATACAGAAAGAAATAAAGCTATTATTATATATATATATATATATATACTAGCATTGCCCGCGGCTCCTATATGTTGACCCGGATAACCAGCTATCATCATACCAAATTTCATCAAAATCTGTCCAGTGGTTTTCTCGTGATGCAGTAACAGACAGACAGACAGACAGAAAGACAGACAGACAGACAAAAATTCTAAAAACTATAGATTCGGACTCTGTATATAATATCTATTTCAAAAAGATTTCCCAAAAAATATTTAATGTACAGATTTGAACTAGTTAGAATTTTATTTTATTTCCAAAAGAACATTTATTTATTTAAAAAATTAAATGTATGTAAAATTATAGCAAAATAATTTTAAGGTAAGACGTCTTGTATGTTTTGCATTTACAATAGTAGTATGACTAATAAAAGTTAAATTAAATATACGTACCAAGCTCGTAAAGGAAACTTATTCTTTTCAGCGCTACCAGCCCATCCGATGGCGGTAAGAAAAGTTATTACGAAGAAACACAATTGATGCTGACGTGTCTCTTGATTAAAACTTGTAATAGGATAAATTGTAATAAGATATATTTTAAAAGAGGGAAAAAACAGTAAACATTCATGGTTTCTAACATCCTATCGTGATGCTGGTACTGGACGGAGATTTTTGGCATTGTCGGAGTTTTGTTACACCGTTATCTCTCCAAACAAAATTGCGGAGGTGGACCAATATTTTCGATGGCGAATTGTGAAAAATCAAGGTTAAATGGGTACTGCTTTAAATTTTCGCTCTCTACTGACGTTGCAATTTAGAATCCTACAATAATCCCCTTACTCTACCTTCAATTTTAATCCTAAAATAGCATTACTACTAAGCAATGATATCCTCCTGACTGATTATGGTATCGGTGACCAGTCTCACTGAGACTAGTTCCTGTGAACTGTGAATCTGCGCAAAAAACATTATAGTGCATAAGTAGGTATGCGCCAAAACACAAATGTACTTTCTATTCCTGTCACTCTTATACTTCTGTGGGACGACAATTCGACACGGTTGGTTGACGACGGATTTACTTGCTTTCCGAGGCACGGGATATTTTACTATATCGCTAACCTCCCAATTCCGGACTGGTACTGAAAATTTCTTAGCAGGAAAAGTCAGTAACAAACCCGCATCTGTACGATCTACTAGCCAGTAGACCACTGAAGCAGTTTATAGAGACATGAATACTAAATATATGAAATGAATACTTTTTTACAGTAGACCTGATTTTATAATATAACTTCATTATTTGAATAAAATACCATTTACCTTTCTATAATACTACGCCCTTCGATACTTTTTTCCTCACTTAAATCTTTACTACCGTCGGTAATAATTTTTATTATTGTCCTTCTTCGTGCAACAATGTTTAAACATTTTAAAACTTGGGCCAAGTTTGTGAGTAGAATAAACGCAGTGCCAGTCATAAGAGGTAAGTTACCCCATATATGGCACAAATCTCCTACTTCAGTCATGATGAATACCCCTGTATAATATATAAAATTTTAAAAAATATATATTAAAGATGGCACGTTAAAAAATGTTTAGTTTTTCTCGAGAAATTCGGAATTAGCTGACCTCCTTGATAAAACACAACTTACTTTTGTTCTTAAACAACAGATAACACTGTGTGAAATTACGTTGTGTCTACTTTATATTAAATACAGCTTTTGTTATATTATCTTTATACTTCATTCTCTATAAATAAACTATTTCAAAAAAAAGTCTTTTACTTACCATTTATAAATAAGAAACATAAAATGCCATAACAATTATAAATAACTAATTTTTTCCTATTAAAATGTTTTGGAGGCCAGTAGCCAATAAGTCTTAGCACTGTTAGTGATAATCGTAAAGAAAAATTAGCATTTTTTACTAAAATTCCCATAACGTTCGTTTCAATTTAAACAAGCTGTCTGAGTTTTTATGGCAAAATGAGTTTTAGATGAAAACTCGTTGCAAAGTACTTATTTTGGCGTGAGGTACTCGATAAAAAGTAGCTTACTTAATATATTTAACTTATTAATATAAGAGATTACAGATGTGCTAAACATTTTTATTTTCTACTGACAATTATATACAAAATCATTAAAAAAACATATAATATACAAACATTGTGTTATTATAGCAAGCGAAATATGATAACTGATATGTATATCTATGGTAAAATATCTTTCTTTTGGCCATTGTTTAATTTATTTTTAGAAGATAAACACCTTATTGGTATAATTAGTGAATGTGAGTCGATAGATTATGAGGTTCTTGGTTCTAATCCTGGGTCGGGGCAAGAAATATTTTTATTGAGGTTTCGGGTTGAGAAATTCTCTGTTTGGAGTTAAGAAGTTGCTGACGTTACATCCTCTTGCCTCGGAGAGCCACGAAATGTGGTCGTTGCGTCAAATCTCTTACTGATTGTCGTCGTATCTTGAGAGCAAAGGGATAAAATAAGAAATAACTTTTAACTTTGACAACGTATATTATTTTATAATTCACTAATATTCTAGAAATAATGTAATAGTAAAAATAAAGAAGTAGTTCATGTCACTCTTCAGCTCTTTATTTCTATGCAAAATCAGATCTATTGATTAGTTTTGTAAAAAAAGGCCTAACTAATAAATAAATAAACACACTTTTGAATTAATAATATCTATAATGATAATGGTAATTAAAATAATTTTAGTCAGTACGAATAAGATACTTTACAAGAAGATATTATATAGGTAATATTATTCAATGATTTAATAAAATGGTTCGTGACAACTGCATAAAATGTTGATAATTATCAGCTTGCATTACTTGAAAATTTACACTTAAATATAATTATGTTATTAGTTTAAATATTACTTACGTTTTAATTCAATAGTTATTTATTCCTACTTTAATTATAGTTTACACTTCGACGCCCCCAAGCAATAAGTCGGTAATCATAAAATTCAAATTTTACAGGAGAAACGGTTTACTATTTTTGTTGAATAAGTTTTCAACCAGTGGGAATATTTAGGACGTTGATGCATCAAATGAAAGCTATTTTTTCGTCAAATGTACCTATGATGTCAATATGAAATTATCTTTAGCCAAAACCTAGCAATGTAAGAAAATCTATTTTACCGAAAATGTTATAGGTAAAATATTACAGTAACAACACTTACTGGATTATTGCAGTAAATTTTTCGAACATTATCATAAGTAACATATTATTATGGACTTCTACAACGGTATTTTCTATCACGAGGACGATGCAAAATGTGTTATTACGTTGTTATTGGCCTAATTTTTAACAGATACGATAACAGTATTTTTATTTATCATTTTTATTGCCGGGAAATTAATTGCGTCACTTTAATGTAACCATTAATTACGAATTACATTTCTATCAAGTGAGGACAGGTAATATTTTACGGTTTATAAGAAAAAATATAGAATATTATGATTATTATAATAACTATCAATAATAAAAAATAACATGTAAGGCTTTTGAAACTAGTATTTACTTATAAAATTAGCCTACACACGACGCTGATAGCTTTATTTATTCGGTATCGTCGACCAGATCTGATATTAAGGCCAGAAGGCGGATAGGTGGAACTCTTCAACGGCTAATAGTAGATACTTTGAGTTTGGGCTTATTTTGTTTGATTTGACAAGCCCATTACGTAAGAATTGAATTTTAGGTTATGTTAGTTGGGTTAGCGCTAGTAGTAAGACTTCGTCATTTCCATTAATTGTAACATACAATTTTCGTTCGAGACATTTCAACCTTACCACTCTATCCATTAATTCGGTAAAATAGTGACTGTGTACCTTCTTGCGTTTTCAGCTGGTTCGATTACCGGTTAAGGACACCTCTCTTAAAACAAAATCAGTTAATCTTATTTTGAAAAATAAAATAATGTTTCCTTTGGGTGAAACTTAATATTTTCAGTGTTTAAGACACTTTTATTTCATATCTTGTTCGTTTATTCCACTATGTTAGAGTCGATGTGTAGAATTTGTAAGATTTCATCGTTTTCTTCAATTCTAAGATGCAATGTTTGTTCGAGAGATTTTATCCTTCCCATAGACCCTATCGATTAATTCGATAAAATAATAATGGTGGCCTTTTTTGCATTTTTATTTGGTTCGATTCCCGGTTCAGGTAAGCTTTTTTTTTAAATTGAATGCAGTTATTATTATTTTTAAAAATAAGGACATGTTTCCTTTGAGTATATCTTGATAACTTCAATATTTAAGGTACTTTTCTTCCATTTCCCATCGATTTGTTCCATCCTGTATATGGATCGGAATGCTGGGCTATTTATAAATACACTAGCGTGTAAACTTTCAGCACACAATTCTTCCCGTAAATATGCATAAAACAAATAATTAAAATTGAAATAAAATTTTATAACTTTACCTAATTCAAGTCTTAAAATTTCATGACCGCGAACGTCAAGAACACTTCGGTAATAACGGCAATCCATCGCGCATTTCAATTTATATGAGCGGGATATTGGAATAGATTCGCTCGTTCATCATTCCAAACTAAACCAGTAATAAAGAGATTTTAAGCCCCATATATACATTGCAGCTACACTTACGTATTAAATATTAACTCAATTGTCACATGTAAGAAGAACAGTGTGGAAATGTTTTGATAAACCATTTTTGGTGATATACTTACAATGCTTCAATCTAATCTCAATATACTCGTAGTTAAAGATATAATGTTCCCAAGTTATGTAAATGTTTACTAACTTTTAGGTGAAGACGATTAAATGATTACGTTAAAAACCTAAGGAAAATAAATCGGGCAAGTGCGAGTCGAATTCGCACACGAATGGTCCCGTACCATCGTACGTCTACTTTTTATTTATATGACTTTTAGTCTATGTATGTAGTATATTAACTTCGATTATCGATTACAATTGAAAAAATGTTTCTTGTATTTTTTTTTTGCAGTGACAATAGAAATACATACTCTGTGAAATTTTCAACTCCCTACCTATTACGGTTCATGAGATACAGCCCTCTGACAGACAGACTTACTTAGCCCAATCCATAAAAACACGAAAAACTTCTCGACCAAACCAAACACTTTCTTCGTAAAAGACAGGCATTCGTGTTACTGTTGAATTTGTCTATGATATATATTTATTCTATGACGAAATATCAAACCATACAGAAAAAATATATTTATATCAAATTAACAGAATTAAGGTATCTGTCATCCAATTAGTCAAAAATTAACTCTTAATGAGTCGATACAAATATTCCCTTTTGGGCCATAAGCAAGTGTGTCGCTAGATATTCTGTAATAGAAACTCATTTTCTACTTTCCACTATTAATTATTAACGATCTAACCTCTTCAAAACGAGGTCTTGAGTAATCAAAGCGGAAATTTCCATCTATAATGCCGCCAGGAAATGGGTTACATATGATATATTCATGTTATTAATCTGCACCATGAAGATTTGTTAGCATTATCGGCGAAGCCATATTACATTTATAGGAATCGTAGAATTTATACTGTATTCTTAATTTTGTGCTATTTGATTTGTGCCGTTTGTTTATTTACGTTTGTAGCTTTTCCTTAATAATATCTAAAGCTCCTTAATATCCTCCCTCAAGTACTGCCCTTGTGGCCTAATGGCTAAGATATACGGTTGTAAATCTATCGTTCTTGGGTTCGAATTCCATGTCGGCCAAGCTCAGTTGACGAGTATTTGTGTTAAGAAGTTCTCAGTAACGTTTTAAGATGTTGGCCAAGACGGCAATTTCATTGTGTTTTGTATATTTCTACTCTTCGACTATCTTTTTAGGGTTCCGTACCCAAAGGGTAAAACGGGGCGCTATTAATAATACTCCGCTATTCGTCTGTCGTCTGTCTGTCCGTCTATCACCAGGCTGTATCTCATGAGCCCTGATACTTAAACAGTCGAAATTTTAATAGATGATGTATTTCTGTTGCCGCTATAACAACAAATACAAAAAAAAAACAGAATAAATTAAATATTTAAGGGGGCTCTCATACAACAAACATGATTTTTTACCGTCTTCATAGATAACGGTAGTACGGAACCCTTCGTGCGTGAGTCCAACACGCACTTGGCCGGTTTTAATTTAATTGAATTGTTCCATTAATTAAAAAAGAATCGTGTAACTAGTTTCATCATAGGCCAACATATCGCGCAACAACAAAAATACACCTACTCATTTTTAAAATCGTTTAAAAATCTATCAAGAAGTATTCACGTTACGCAGTAATGTAGAAGATAAATTAAAGAAAAAAAACCTCTCAAAGCTCTGGGAATAGGCTTCGCAATCAATTGTACAGTTGAATGCAGATCGGAAGCAGAAAATTGAAATGTAATCCCTCGTTCTTCACCCGGAACTGATGCCGATACTTGAGTGTTAGACGTTCCTTTTCCCATACAAAGATTATTAGGTCTATTACCGATTTATACAAAAGCTTTGAGGATAATACTTTCTTAGATT